CACACTACACACTGACTAAAATTAAAAAAGTGAAAAAGCATAATAGGACCCCTTTAAGAGCTTGAACCTTTACAGTGTCCATCTTAAACAGAACAAAAATATATACATTGACTTGTACCAGGACTTTAAAAAGGACTCAAAATTCTTTAGTATTAGTGAGTGTCTCAGTCCACATTACATTGACACTGATGATTTAGAGAGATTAACCAGTTAAATATAATAAATGTATTATTATTATTATCATCATCAACCCTAACAACAACATGTACTGTTTAAATGGCTTTGAAACTGTACCAAACATTGTTGTTTGTGATAAGTATCATTTTAAACTATACTTGACCTGGATTGCAAGTCTGTCAACACTGCAACTGATACAAAAAAGCATCATCTGAAAACACAGTGCAGGCACCAAACTAAAACTATTCTCAAATTACCATATTAAAAGCAAAAACGGCAACACAGACAGCAGAATCTGAACAGCACAGCATAAACTGAACAGCAGTGTCACCTTGTGTTGGTGACTGTCTCTGCTGTTTTCTGATGATGTACAGAATCGGCTCCTGAGCGTGAAGCAAAATATATTCCACACCCACCATCTGACTACACACATAGAAAACACAATTAGACACAAACAACACAGCTCTACCTATTTTAATTGAATAGGAAACAAAACAATCAGTAGTGGCAGTAAAATAAACACACATTCATGTATAATACATGTATAACAAAATATACCTGACATGACTAAGAGTATACTATGTATAACACAGTTTTAATGGCATAGTGCAGTGCTTACTTGAGGTGATCCAGGGTTAATCTCTGCATTTTGACCACCTCGTTGTTGCAGGTGCGATCATAGAAGGGGTTGCTCCTCTCGGAGAAATACTCCAGTACATTGCTGGGGTTCAGGATGGGCACCCAGCCACTATCCACCCACGAGATGCCCAGCAAATTATCTGACAAACACAAAACAAAAAATCATATTCGAATGAGAATATTTCCGTCAAGGAAAAAAAAAACAATAAAATATATCGTAGAAATTTCAGATAATACTGCGCGCCTCCAACAACAACAAACTATAGCGACAATGCTAAAGAGCAAAGTGATTATATTGGCCGGACAAA